ACCAGTATAATCAGCGTCACAATAACCTACACACTTGTATTCTCTTGATTTTCTATAACATAGACCAAGGTTAGCAGTATTTTTCATATATCTTAAAATTCGTTTGACAGTAGTCAAGTGTGATTCTATAGGATCTGATTGAAATCTAGCGCATAAGCATACACTAAATAAAATTCCAGGCCTGGAGGCAGTCAAATATAGTAGGGAACCTATCATACCTCTATACAGCTTCTGATCATCCTTGCCACTTACCTCATCCTTATCTAGGACGCACGTAGGATGCATATGAGTCTTTTCTATCTTGCATTCAGTTGGATTGAACTTCTTCAGAAGTTCTTTGGTGTATTTTCTTTGGTGAATGAAGGTTTGATCCATTCCTTGATTGATTTGAATTCCCAAAACAACTTGAGTTCTCCCATTAAGCTCATTTCAAATACAACCTGCATAGACTTAGCAAAATCCTCGCACAAAGTAACATTAGTAGAACCAAATATAATATCATCAATATATATTTGAACTACTAAGATATCATTTTTAAAATTTTTACATAACAGAGTGGTGTCAACCTTTCCTCTATTGAAGATGTTTTCTAAAATAAAGTTGCTTAATTTTTCATACCAAGCTCTTGAAGCTTGTTTCAGACCATACATGGATTTTTTAAGTTTGAAAACAAAATCAGGATTTTCACCGTCTTCAAAACCAGGAGGTTGGTGCACATAAACTTCTTCAGTTATGTAACCATTCAAGAAAACACTTTTAACATCCATCTGATATAAAATGATGTTGTGATTAGAAGCAAAAGAAATTAATAGACGGATAGATTTTAACCTGGCAACTTGTGAAAGGTTTTTGTATAGTATATTCCTTCTTGTTGACTATATCCTTGTGCAACTAGTCGAGCTTTGTTTCTTACCCACTTCACCTTTCTCAATGAGCTTGTTTCGAAAAACCCATTATGTTTCAATCACATGAGTTCCCTTGGGTCTTGGTACCAGATCCCATACATCAATGATTTAGAATTTCCCAAGTTCTTCTTCCATGGCTTGGATCTAGGATTGATCAATAAGAGCTTCATCGGTAGAGGTAGGTGAAACAACCAACTGCAAATCATCAAACAATAAAGTCTCCATCGAACGTCTTTTATCCCACATGAAGGGAAAGGTGAACATCGAGAAAACCTGAGAAGGGAGAAGTCACGGTCTTGCGACCAAGAGATTGGGTAAGGGAGTCTGTTACGCGAGGGGAAGGTATTAGCACCCCACACGCTCGTAGTACTCTACGGTATCCACTCTTGTCATCTATCTTATGGGTGTGTTTAATTTATGTCTACTGCTTACTACTGAGGAAGAATGCATGCAAAAGAAATGCGGGGAAAAGAAGGAAGTATTTATGAATTTTGCTCGGTTAGGCCCCGTAACCTGTTGCCTACGTATCCTTTTCGAGGAATCAGAGCTCTGTAGTTAAACTCACGTGTTCTTATTTGTTTTGTGTTTTTTAATAGGTGATGAACCCTTGTGAAAACGGTTTTGAGTTACGCCCTCAAGGTAAGATGCCACGCTTGATTAGTTTTATTTTTGTTACCTTGAAAAAGGGTTTAAGTGTGATTAAGATGTTTTATGGTTTGCCAAGAAAAGAAGGTTTTATTTTTAAATGCAAATGCAAAAAAGGGAAGAAAAATGATAAAAGGGAAATGTCTACATATGTTAGCATACCAAAAACCTAGGGGTGATGATAACTATCCTATAGGGAACATGTAAAGATCAAAGTCGTTATCTCAATTCTAATTGAGTGACATCATTGATCATCAACAAAGGAAAACGATAAATCCCTAAGGGAGCATGCAAAGATCCAAGTCGTTGTCTCAATTCTAATCGAGTGACATCATCGATCGTCAACAAAGAAAACAATAAAATCCTACGGAGAGCATGCAAAGACCGAAGTCGTCATCTCAATGCTAATTGAGTGACATCACCAGCCGTTAAAAGATGGAAGTAAACACAAGCACAATTAACAAACAAGTGCAGGATGCCTGCTACAGGTCTTTAAACAACGACTTCGAGCACACGCTCTTTATTTCCTACTTTTCATGATATCTAGAAAGTGGTAAAGAAATACGATAAAGTGCCGAAAAATGTAAAAACAGTAGCGGCGACTACCAAAAGCAAGCGGATCGTCGAAAGTGGAAGAAAGCAATGGAGAAGCAGGGAGTATGCGTCGAGCAAGCTTCACCAAGAAACAAACAAAGTCAGAAACGATATCCAACTAAGATAAAAGCAAACATGTGTTGCGAATGCAACGCGTAATCAGAAGTTCTTGCACAAAGTATCATAAAATATCACATGCATCAGGACAACATATAATATGATATGAATTTCTCAGGACGATGAGAAATAAAGCATGTCGCATCAGAAGCGAGCATACGCCATGTCCTTCGATCACATAACAACCTAATATGTTACATGATCGAAAGCACCAAAATGCACCTTGCACAAAGAACAAACGCGTCAAAAATAACAAATCAAAATGGTGTAAAATATGAACAAAAAAACTAAAAGAAAAAGTATTTTTCATTAGTTTTTTTATGTGAGGAAAATTCTATCAAAAACTAAAGAAATTCTAGAAAAAATATATTACATTCTACCATTTTTTATTGTTTCTATTATTCTGATTATCTCCTAAAACTCACTAATTCTTATTAGCAAAAATCGATAAAAGAAATATAGAAGAATCTAAAGATTATGATCAGGCGGTTCAAGCAGTAAACAATAGTGTTATGAATCAAGGAGAATCTAAGCCCAACCAAGAAATTGGTTCACAAGCGGCCTTTTTGTTCAACTAGCTTCAGGGTTCACAAAACAAATGGTAATCTCCTCCCTCTCTATCTGTTTTCGATTTCGATTTTGCCAAGCTCCTCCCATTACTTTGATACGAACACAAACCTTACATTTTTCGTCTACCGATTAAAAATCTTACACCAATTTCTTACAGAAACTTCTTATCGATCGATAAATTAGGAACCAAAACCCCAAACTTAAGGGGAGACGAATTTTGGCAAGAATCGTTAGGAATCTACGCGTGCATCCTTCAATTGACTCTAAACTGTGCAAGGAGATACTAAAGGATTGTGAAATGAAAGCTTCAGAGAAATTGTTACCGTTCCGGTGCAGCGGAGAAGATGAATCTTCTGGTGAGCTCCAATTTGTCAGGTACTTCTTTCTTCCTTTCTTGCTTCTTCGTCCTCTTGTCTTTTTGTTTTCTTTTTCTACTTCCTTCTTTTTCTGTTTGCTCTGCGTGTCCGATTTTGTTGTTGAGAGCGAGTACCGACAAGGTTTCGAAGCTCTTCGTTGTGTGTGTTATTGTTGTTGTGCATTGATGATGAAGAGGCGTGAAGATGATGATGATGAAGGTGGAAGGTAGAAGGTGGAAGGTAGAAGGTGGAAGTGAAGGATTTAAGGTGATAATGGTTGAGGATATGGTTGTGGTGCAGAATGGTGTTTGGAGAAAGGTGCAGAGAATGATGAGATGAAGAATGGTAGGGAACCGAAGTGAGGTTGAGTGAAAGTGAAGAAAATGGCGCATTTTTTTTTATATTGAAGTTGGAGCTTCTTTTATATAGGAGATTGAAGAGGAGAATCAGTTACAGAAGAGAGGATCATGGCCATTGATTGGATTAAACAATTATGATATGAAGGGTGGAGATTGAAACAGCTGTAGGTTAGTTGCAAGTTGTTTAGAGAGTTAGAATTTGCTAGCTATTAAGGACAGTTAGTATGAGCTGGCATTGGCAGTTATATTATGTTAGATTCGGTTACAGATGGGAGGTTAGAGGAAGCTAGTTAGATCTTTGGTTAGAAATAGTTAGGGGTAGCTGGAATTCTGTTGGAAATCAGTTAGATGTGGCAAATTATTTACTGTGTTAGTTTTGGTAGTTCTAATTTCCATTAGGACAATTGGAAGTGTAGGGAATTTGTATAAATTGAGGGTTGCCTGGAGCTGCAGTTTTGTAAGTAGCTGTTGTCATTTCTGTTTTGGGTAGGGGTCTTTGTGATTGATATAACCTCTTTTGTTGATCAAGAACACCCGTTTGTTGAAGTATGGAACCCGATGTCTGAAGCCTTTGCTTCTTATCTCATTACAAAGGATTTGGCTGTTGTTGCAAACTCATTTGCTGTTGCATTCGTGCAGGCTGAGACTGAATTTGTGGCATTAATTGCTGCTGTGGCATTTGTTGTTGTGACAGTTGTGCTTGAGATGGTAAAAAATTTGATGCACCATATTGTAATTGCTGCTAAATTGGAACCTTTGATTGATGTAGCACGTGAGTAGAGTGCTAGCTTGTCTGCACTGGAAAATTGAGGTCTAAGGACTTGTTGCGGCTGTAACCCAGTGACATTGTTTCCCAATTGTTGATGTATATTTGATAAGTTGTTTTGCTGATTTATTAGTTGTTGCCCTTTTTTGTTTTGTTGTTTCCTAAGTTTTTCTTTAAACTAATGCAGGGCTTTTAGTTAGTACAGGAGCTGGTTTGTGAATATAGTGCAGGGCTGGAGTACAGGGTTGCGGTGTTAGTTTTCGTTGGAATGGAATGTCGCGGTTAAACCTTGTGCAAGGAATGGTAGGAATTGAAGTGTGCTGAAGTTACATGAGTCTTGAGAAATTGTATGGAGTCCATCATGAACTACTGCATGTAGTGATACTATGCTTCATGAATGAACCTGTTATGCCCTGTTCTTGAAATGTGCATGTTATAGGTCTGTATTAGCGTTATATGTTGAATTTATTAGCCTTGAACATGTGATGGTGTATGATCTGTTAATGAACGGTTGGATGTAGTTACTGAGTGTTTATATGTGAAATTCAGTTTCTGATTTTTTCTGTTAGTTTTCACTTGGTTAGCTGAAGTGTATGCAGAGCAGGATCTATAACATGACTTTCCTGTATATAGCTGATATAGGCTTTAATAGGTTATGTTCAGGTTGGTTAAATTTTTTATGATGCAATTAAATGGGCACGAAGATCAGGAGTTGGCGAAGTAGCATATCAAGTCTGGTTGAAAGCTTGGTTAAGGCATGAAGATGATCCATGGAGTTTTGGCAAAGAAGATGAATGATGAAGTTTAGCATTGGTTTAGACTTTAGGAACTTCATGTATTTGTGTAATTTTGTCACTTCGTAATCTTGTAAATTTCCAATGAAATTTGGCTGATATCCGTTTTTTGTTCCCAAAATTCAAGGTCCTTCAAGAATGATCAACATAAGCTTTGCAAATTCCCCTTGAATTCCTATGAAGAATGATGTTTCTAATGAATGAACTTGCTTAAACTTGCATGAATTTTAATGACAATCTTGAACCTTGTATATAGTTGAAACTTGAACTTCAGATGAATTATTTGAATGAATATTTGGATGAGAATATTATCATGATGAGATGTAAACCTTAACCCCCATACTGAATGATGAAATACCTTGAGGTGATGGAAAGAAACCAAACCCTAGCTCTTTAATTAGAGCCTTGATGAAGCTATGAGAATTTGCTTAGAAGCTCAACGATGAAGGAGATGGCTTAAGATGACGAAGAATGCCAAAACACTAATTCAAAGCACTCTTAGTTGACAATCCTGGTGAGGTCTTAAGCGTACACAAAAGAACCTTAGCACTTGACCTTGAGATGATCTTGTGAACCTTTGATATTTGAGAAAGCTTGAGAAGTGGAGATGTTTGAATATCTCATTTCCTGATAACTTTGAATCAAGAAAGAACCCTAATTTCAATGGTCCTTGATCCAAAATGCCAAGTTTATTAGTTAATGATGCATGATGTGATAGATGACCTAAATGAATGGTATGCAGACGAAATGAGAAGTGCAAAATGCATAAGCCAGATAAAAGTGAAAGGGTAGGACAAATTTAGGGTATTACAGTTGCCTCTATTTAATCGTCTTAAAACCGAAAGTACGATTGGCGCGTGCCTTTCGGACGTTCGAGGTAGAAGATGATTAAATACCAATGCCAAAAATTTGTTCTGAAAGAAAGTGTGAGTGTTTGTTATCATTATTTTTATAATATTTGTTGGGGAAAGAAATTTTTTGTTTTTCCTGGTGAGAAAGATTTAAGGGTAACTTTTAACGTAGCGACAATGCTAATACAAGACGGAGATTAGACTTATAATTTAGCAATAGAGGCTAATACAAGAGAAAGGCTGAATTGTAAAGTAGCAACAATGCTAGTACAAGAGAAAGGCTGACTTGTAACGTGGCGGTGATGCCAATATAAGGAAAAAATAGGTACGAAAAGACGACGGATAAGATCTACGGATGACCTACGATCCTATAACGAGACCTACATGCGATCTACTAGGGGGGACCTATGGGAGATCTACAAGATGAGAGCTAGATCTACAGACAACCTACAATTCTAAGGTGAGATCTACGAGCGATCTATCGGAGAACTAGGCCTATGGGCGACCTCAGGATTCTACGAAGATACCTATGGGCGATTTGCTGAAGAACTAGGCCTAAGGGCACCTCAGAATTCTAAAACAAGATCTATAAAGAGACTTTGGCCTACGGGCGACCTCAAGGTTCTAAGATGAAACCTTATCTACTGGAGAACTAGGCCTATGGGCGAACTCAGGGTTCTAAGATGAGACATCAGGGCGAACTGTCGGAGAACTAGGCCTATGGGCGACCTCAGAACTCTACGAAGATACCTATGGGCGATCTGCTAAAGAACCAGGCCTAAGGACGACTTTGGAATTCTAAAACAAGATCTATAGGGAGAACTAGGCCTACGAGCGACCTGAGGGTTCTAAGATGAAACCTCATATACTGGAGAACTAGGCCTATGAGCGACCTTAGGGTTCTAAGATGAGACATCAGGGCGATCTGTCGGAGAACTAGGCCTATGGGCGACCTCATAATTCTACGAAGATACCTATGGACGATATGCTAAAGAACTAGGCCTAAGGGCGACCTCAAAATTCTAAAATAAGATCTATAGGGAGAACTAGGCCTACGGGCGACCTCAGGGTTCTAAGATGAAACCTCATCTACTGGAGAACTAGGCTTATGGGCGACCTTTGGGTTCTAAGATGAGACATCAAGGTGATCTGTTGGAGAACTAGGCCTATGGGCGACCTCAGAATTCTTACGAAGATACCTATGGGCGATCTGGTAAAGAACTGGGCCTAAGGGCGACCTCAGAATTCTAAAACAAGATCTATAGGGAGAACTAGGCCTATAGGTGACCTCAGGGTTCTAAGATGAGACATCAGGGCGATATGTCGTAGAACTAGGCCTATGGGCGATCTCAGGATTCTACGAAGATACATATGGGCGATCTGCTGAAGAACTAGGCCTAAGGGCGACCTCGAAATTCTAAAACAAGATCTGTAGGGAGAACTAGGCCTACGGGCGACCTCAGGGTTCTAAGATGAAACCACATCTACTGGAGAACTAGGCCTATGGGCAACGTCAGGGTTCTAAGATGAGACATCAAGGCGATCTGTCGGAGAACTAGGTCTATGGGCGACCTCAGAATTCTACAAAGATACCTTTGGGCGATCTACTAATGAACTAGGTGTGATACGGTGGGAGAACTGACTATGGTTTTGCGTTTGTTTTCGCAAATGTTTCGGTTGAGAAAGAGTCGCCACCGACTTTTTATTTTATTCTAAGGAAAGGTTTAAAAAGCACAGCAAAAACCTTTGAGATTTTTCTTGGGTTCGGGGAGTAGGTTATAGAAAGGGAAGGTATTAGCACCCTTTCTATCCATGGTTATCCATGGGCTCTTAGGTACTTTCTTAGATCAATTTGCCTTGGTTTTCAATTGTTTGAAATGGTGCTCGGTGTGGGGTTTTGAAAATGTTTTGAAAAGATGCCTTGTATAGGCTACCCTTGTAACAATTCTTTACTCGAATGTTTTACAAAAGGTGTTTGTCTTTTTTGAAAAGATGTTTCAAGGTTTTTTTTGAAAGTTTGTTTTGAAAGTGTTTGTGAAGTGTGGTTTAAAAATAGGCAAGTGTTTTCTTTTGCAAATGGACAAGTACTTAAGAGCTATCTACCCTAAAGTTCTCAAAGATTTATGCTATGTTTTGACCCTTTTGACAATTTTGTTCCACCATTGTATTTGGTGGGCAATCTTGTATTAGGAGATGAAAGGGACGAGCGCGGGTCATCGTTTAGACCATAATTGCAATAGTGCTAAATATCTTTGGGCAATTTCTCTTTGAAAGGGACTTGATCATTTTAGGCAACTTTTCGAAAGCGTCATCGAGGGACTATGATCATTTGAATTGTATTTGTTTTGCCCAAAGAGACCTAACATGCAATATGGCCCATTTATTGAAGGCAACAAGTGGAATACCCTAGGGGTGCAAGTGTGATATGTGTTGTCCATATTTCATGCTTGTTTATCTTGAAATTAGGTCAAACTACCTTGTTCTTTTTATTTGCATACAAACCCTAACTCTAGCATGGTATGTTTAGAAAGCGTTAAAGTGCGAAATTTAAATTCCTACACTATTACAACATAATAATATGGGGAGGGGGGTACAAATGTTCAAATGGGGGGATATTTAGACAAAGAAATTAAACCTAGCTATTACATCAATTTAGAATATTTACAAGATAAATAATTGCATAATTAAATAGAAATGAAATAAATATGCAAGATGTAAAAAGAATTTTTATATGTATGAAAAAGTATTATTTATGTTAAATAAATAAAATAAATAAAAATTATTATTTTTGGAGTATTTACCTATTTAGGGCAAAACCCTAATTTTAATCAAAAGGGTATTAATTATTTAATATATATAATATTTACTATTTATATACAAAAAATAAAATAAAAATGAAGTATATTTGTAAAAATTTATTTTTAGTGTTAAATATTAATAAAATAAAAATATGTATATTTTTGGTATTTTATCCTAAGTGTATTATATATATATATATATATATATATATATATATATATATATATATATATATATATATATATATATATATATATATATATATATATATATATATATATATATATATATATATATATATATATATATATATATATATATATATATATATATATATATATATATATATCTTTATTATTTACTAAATAAATATCATATATATAAGGTAATAATAATTAATATTTATAAAAAAAAAGTATGTTTTGTATAAAATATTTTAAGAAGATAAAACAAAATAAAAATGAAAATAAAATGTGTTTACATTATTTTTCTCTATTTATTCTAAATAATATATTATTTACTTATTTGTATATAAATATCAATATAATCAAATAAATGCCTAAAAAAATATAAAAATGATGCAAAAAATATTTTTTATGTTTTTAATATGATAAGAAAAAATAAATGAGTCAGAATGAAAAAGGAAAAATCAAAAAATCATAAAAATACACAAAATGGGCTTGGGGGGGATGAAAGCAAAAATAGGGTGTGAAAAGAAATAACAAACAGGCCCAGCCCAGAAAGTTGTTGTCTTCAACCTTCAGACCAAACAAAATTCAAAAATACGCGCCCTTCTTCTCCAATCCCTAACTCCTGATTCTTTGATCTTTTGCCAAATCTTCCAACATGAAACCTGTAGAGCTTGAAGCCACGATTCTAGACATATAAAGAAGTCAATCTAACTCTCAGAAATGAGAGAGAATTTATTCTCTCCCAAATCCTGACCTAATTTTTATGCCATGTTCAGACTTAAAATTCTTGCAGCACACATAATATAAATGAAATCTAATTATATGGGCATGTTCAGGGCTATGATTGTGACATATTCTCTTCACAAACCTAAAGCTAACAATGCCTAATAAGAGAGATAGAACTTCATGAATATACCTGTGCAGTTGGAATCGTGCCTTGCAATGGAGGAACTTTCAGGACAAGATGATGACTTGTACAGCTTCCTTGAAGTGTAGTGATGCTATTCCAACACTTACTTTGCCTTGAGACACCTTGAATCGAGCTGTGGAACTTCAACTGCAAAATGAGAAAGTGAAAATGGTGGAACTTGTTAGAGGAATTACAGATCGTGTTTCAGGTCTTGGTTAGCTTGCATTGATGCTAGGGAATATGTGTGAACTGGTTTGGGCAAGAAAGCTTGAGAGGAATGAGAGATGGCACTCAAACTGCAGGCCTTGCCCTGTTCTTGCAGTTTGA